GGCATCAGTCAAGCATATAATCTGTCGGATGTGCTAAACCGCAATATTACACATATTTCACATTCACGCCATTGGAACTGCTTGTTAAAGACCTTAGATGATAGAAAATACTCTCCCCAAATCTTTACTTTATTTATTTTTAGCCAAGTTAGTGGTCATAAATGCATGGTCAACTGATCCTAATTCACTAGGCAACATGAATTCACACCATGCCTTGAATTAAATATTAGAACAAAGTTTTGATAGCTGCTCAGAAATCTTTCTTGTTTCTTTACAAAAAATTTCTTTGAGGTCATTGCGCCCGTACATCATCACTGCATTGTTGCATTTATGAATGTGATTTGTTTTAAAACATCTATTTCTAGGCTGTAGAAAATACTTAATATATAAGCATCACTAAAAAACACCTCTTTTACACACTTTGCTTTCATCATATTGTACGAGGAATATTTGGAAAGTAAGGTTACAAGATTTTTTTAAATTACAAAGAATGAATATATTTTAATAAAACTTACATGGATTATAGCATAGGTATAACATTATTTTTCCACATAACCACAATTCAGTTCAATACATTTTGTCATCTGTGCAACGGGTTTTTGATGCCTATGTCATAGAAGTCTCCCTCTGCCTTTTTCAGCCAGTTCGTCACTTTGATTTTCACCTCGTCATTGTCGGAAAAGTGTTTTCCACCCAGGTGTTCCTTCAATTTAGTGAATAGATTATTGTCACTGGATGCAAGATCGGGGCTGTGGGAAGGGGTGGCTTAAAACGTCCCAACCAAATGAAGTCAACAATTCTTGTGTGGCATAAGCAGTGTGTGGACACACATTGTTATGAAGGAGACAGACAGAAGGGAAATGGAATGAGGATGCATATCTCTAACCTTCACTACAACACCAGTCGATGAGCTACCAACGACTGGCACTGCTCGTTCACTTCAACTGGCTTCCGGCTACATGGCAGTATTATCAACTTCCCCCGTGAAAATTCCCCGCAAGAGCTACGTGTCTTGTAACCTTACTTTCCGGATAACACTCATACTTTACTGTCCACCTTCTCAGCGTATGTAGTCTATGTTTTAATCTTCAGTGATAGTAGGTATCTTTGCAGAAAATATTGGAAAATGTATTTCCATTATCAGAAAAATATGGTCAAATCTAAGTCTAGTAAGAGTAGGTCTATTAAAATCTATGATTATTTGATTTTTAGACTAGGAAGCATTTTAATATGATTGATCAAAAACAAGAAAAGATTGTATGATTTGCAATGGAATTAACTTTCAAGGAATGTATTTTACTTCTAGGACCAACATTTAAAGTGTTAAAATCTCCTTGTTTTTATTACTTGTTTTTGGGCTTGATTAGTTTTCCGCTTTGTTTTGAAAACTAAGGGTTTTTACGAGACTAATGTATAAGCATTTCTTATTTGATTCCACTCCTATTAGTTATAGTTAGTTATAACTGGTCCTGAGATACAGCTAGTTTCCCTCTAGCACAGTGGTTCTCAACCTGTGGGTCCCCAGGTATTTCGACCTACAATTCTCAGAAATCTCCACCAGTTTACCAGCTGTTACGATTTCTGGGAGTTGAAGGCTAAAACTTCTGGGACCAACAGGTTGAGAATCATTGCTCTAGCACATGCTGTAGTTTTACAAGTTAAGCCCTTTGTGATGAATTAGTAAATTAGGGGTTCTATACTCTGCAATAGGGTTTTCCAAGAAGTTAAGCCAATATTATCAGCAATTCTATTATTGCATTAGAACTCCAATCTGTTTTCAAATAATGATTAATATTATTTAATTATGAGTCAAAAGAATGCATGTATTATTTGATCTTTCTTTTTAAATATACTGTTTTTGTCCACAAATTTTCCCTATTTTGCTTTGTATAGAATTATGAAGTTGGACAGAAATAAATGAAACAAAAGCAGGTTATCTGGTACTAAGATTGCCTTATACTCTACTAAAGCATCCCTGACAAGATACTTAAGTTTCTGATAGAAAATTCACGGGTTCTTTTATTACTTGAGAGTTCTTGGAGATAAATAGTGGACTTTGCTGAACTGAACTCGAAAGGCAAGTTTTTAGTTCTTTCATGAGTGGATGGAATATGTTGTTCTTCAAAAAATATATGTGAAATATTTGAGAATGATTGACATTTCTCTTCCTTCCTCTCACACCATGTTTTCTTACTTATCATATTTACTTCCTTCAGCCTTTGGTCGGTTGTCTAGATCATTGCTTAGCTTAGTGTTTGGGTCCTGAAAAAATTGGCATCACCTAATGACTGTTTTAGACTCTTGTCTTCTCCAGAGTCCCCTGCAAGCACTGCACAACAGATTGGTGTAAATCTATTGTGCAGTGTTTGCAAGGGACTCTGGAGATGATCCCTCAGTTGTAATTCATAAAAAATCAACCTTTTTAACAAGCCTTGTTATAAATAAATGTTTGATTTTTATACTTAATTTATATAACTATATACCTGGTGTCATGTAAACATTTCTCAAGCTGAAAGAGATTGTGAGTGGAAAAGTTTAAGAAGCCCTGATCTAGGTCAGCTGTGTAACTTCCCTGTAATGGTTTTCTGCTTTCCTGATACCTAGAACTCTGAATAATACTTGGAATGAGGCTTGAGCTTGACCAGTCCTGTTTCTCAAACCATTGAAAAGAGACTTAAGTATACTGTATAATGCATTTTTATTTTGCACTGTATTCACACAAATGATCAGTTGATATTGACTACATTTCTTACATTTATTGCTGCTTAGGTTTTTTTCTACAACATAAAGTCAAATTGCATGTCATATTAAATACATAATCATACGCAATGCATGATTGTTTCATAGTTTTAAAATAGTAAGGTAGTGGTTGGCTGAAACTAGGAACACAGATCCTGGGGGAGAGGGTTAAGTTCTTCCTCCCATGCTGTGATCCGGATGAATGTATCCACTGAAGCTGGTATTTGGCTGAATCGGAATTGTGCCATTGGCAAGAATAGCATTCCCCTCTGTGCCAAATGGGTTCTGGCTAGAAGGGTGGGAGTTGGGGCAAAATACAAGACAAAACGGTTAGCCTCACCTCTGCAGTCCAGATTTCCCTCCATCTCACTATTGATTGCGCAGTTTGGAATCACTTTATTATACAGTATTGGTGTTTGACACATTAGGCTTATTCACAGATTCTTCTATAGGTATAATAAGACTTCTGCCTTTTGTTGCTATTTTCCTAGGTCTAGCTTAATTGAGAATTCTTTGAATATTTTTTTTATTTTGTGGGAAAAATATTAAGATTCAAAGCCTAATTTATAAATATTAAGCTTATACAGGGTGAGGCAGCATAACTTCCTTTTTTAAAATGCATGCCATTCAGTCGGTTGAAGACGTAGTTGAGCGCTAGTGGTCTCGTTCGAGAGGCGGGAGTATAAAGTTTTGTCCTGACACAGTTCAGTCGCCATCATGTGTTGGAACAGTGAGGAGCGTGCTTTTGCCGTTGAGGCCTAGTTTTCGAGCGGATTTGGAGTGGCCGGCCTGCTCTCCAGATTTGGCCCCTTGTGATTTTTTTCTATGGGGTTTTTTGAAATCTTGTGTTTATGTGAACCGTCCAAGTACCCTACAAGATTTGAAGACCAACATCCAGGAAGAAATTTCCAACATAATGCCTGCTATGCTGGCAAGAGTCATGACAAATGCCAGAAATCGGTTTACTCAATGTATGGAGAATGGGGGACACCTACCTAATTTGATCTTCAAAACTACATAAAACAAAACTTTAGGTATGTGCCTACATTATTAAAAAAAAATCTGATTCATACAATGGGTTTTATTAAGTTTTGAAAAAAGAAAGTTATGCTGCCTCACCCTGGAGTAGGTATTGTTCTGTTCACACAGTTAATATATAAATATGATGAGATTCTGATGAAATTCTGTATATAAATATAAATATACAGAAAATATAATAGTCCTGTAACCATCTGAAATTCCTCCCTCCCTCATAGCACAATAAAATAGCAAAATACACAAACTATGTATTTTATGTTGATGTGTTTTGATTATGTTGTACCCCCCTCAAGCTAAAGAGAGGGGGGTAAAAAATAAAATAATCGTGAGCTGTAGTTGATGATAGCTCTACTTCATCAGATCTAATGTGTTATCCAGAATTTCCAGTTTACATATAGTGATGGGGTTGTAGTCAGGTCAGGCATGCATTAAATGCAGAAAGTACTGACAGTGACAATTATATAATTTAAAGTTAATAATGTAATTATCATTTTCAGTACTTTCTCCATTTAATTTTACCACTATAATTAATGTGATCATCTTTAAGGTGCATAGCGATTCTTGTTATTTTCCTGCAGTTGCCAAAAAAGCTATATCTTTAGGAGTTTTAAAATACATATTTTTAAAAAAATCTAGAGCGGCAGAAGAAATATTTGAAGTTTTGCTTTTAACATTATCTTCTAAAAATTTTTTAGAGATGATATGACAACTTCCCCTTTTCCAGAAAAATGATCTGGCTCTTAGCATCTCCATTTGAGTTGATGTGCCAGACGATCTCAGCTTAAGCAAATATAATATGTCACCCCAGCTCTGACACATTTTAGTGGGTGTTGCTGTTTGTGGCTGAGAAAACGTCAAGAGAGGAAAACATAGGATGGGAAAAAGACCCTTTAAAAACATATTATCATGCTAGGTTATTATATTATTTTAGTAAAACAGATTATTTAACACTGGCCACGATTTTCAGTTTATATTAGTGCCTAAATGCCTCCTCATGGCAAAATGAATGGAAAATTATTTTCTGGAATTTCTAAAAATATCTTGTAACAAATAGGTTTCTGCTAACAAGCTGTGTAAATTCAAAACCCATTTGTTGGATTTTTTCCCCTTAGCAGCAGGAATGTGCCTGTGCATGCAATCTGTTTTAAGAATCATCTGGTAAATGTCAGTTCAAGCTCAAAAGAGGAAACACCCCTCTCTGTGAAAGAAATGGTACTTCCTGCTTTCATAAACAGTCATGTGCATAGTTTAGCAAGGCCCGATGCCTCTCGAGCGTTTTATTTTATAGCACCATAGAATCTGCCTCTGCAGAAGTACAGTGAATCTTGTGGCTTCATTTGGAACAAAGGGGATTAGTGGGAGAGAGAAAAAACCCTCTCTCTAGTAAGGCGTTGGAAAACAAGGGCAGGCAGTCTTTGGTTGTGAATATTTTCTGATTTTTCCAGAAATCAAGCAGAAGATTGAGCTGCTGATGTCAGTTAACTCTGAGAAGTCGTCCTCTTCAGAAAGGTACAGCTACATCTCCTGCATGAACAATTAATGGTGTAGTATGGCTACGATGCAGAGGAGGGTATTTTTCCCGTCATGTTTGCTGATGATGTTGATGTACTGCATGCTTGCCATTGTAATGTATTAATTGAATCTGTGTTTCTCATTAAGCTTTTTGACATTTACAAAGGGCTATTTTTATTCCATTAAAAATGCCTAATCTGTGCAGCATGCAAATCCATAACACAGTTGTCGGGGACATATGTATGTAGTATGTTTATGCTGTTGCTGCAGTGTGTGTGTGTGTGTGTATGTGTTTTTCCATCAGTTAAAAAAGCCTCATAATTTAAAAATACAGATTCATTGGTATTTTACATGAATGTTGCAGATAAATTAGTGAAAATTTAGTATTCTTCCATTTAGTCTGGTAGAAAACAGTTGGTTTAAAGCATTATGTTTTGCTGAAAGGGAGTGTCCTTTGCTAATAGCTTAGGAATTGCAAACCTATGAATTAGTCACATTCTGTGAGAGAGATGTGATGCTGCTTCAAGTCTATGCTAGGAAATGGAGCAGTCACTGCATGCAGTAATGGTTCATACCCGCAGGTAAGGACAAAATGACTCAGAGGTGTTGTAGAGCAATCTTTTTATTATTTGCTCTGCTTCTAATATTTAAAAGCAGCAGCTTGGATATTATATCTCAATGCAATATTTGTGTTTACCTAGACAGCAGGGTGCCTAGCAAACAAACCTGTTCAACCATCTTTTTTTCCTTAAGATTATTTTTGCTGCTAAAATGTATTATAAATAAAATATATTTCATATGAAGCAGCACTGCTTTTGGTTTTTTTTAAATGCATGTATCTTAGTATTTGTTGTATAGTTCTCTCTTTGGCAGTCATTTGCTTTAAGAGACGACAGCGTAATCAATTTAATAGAGCCAAATGTTAATTCTGTGTCGAATGTTCATCAAAATGTGCATAAGGGGACACAGTTGCAATGCACTCAATGCATCTTAGCTAATTGGGAAGAGATAAAGCATATAATTCAAAAGGAGTGTCTAGTGTGTGTCATGTACAGCTTTAAAACAGCAGTTGCTTCATTGGATTTGTACGTGTAAAAAGGAAATACATGTGACAGTAAGCAAAATGGATGGACTTTATGGTGGATTTATGTGACAAAATGCCATAGCAAGGAAAATACATAAAATGGTGCGTGGGGTGGAGTAAGGGAAGAATGGAGACAAGACATTTTTGGGGGGTGTATGTGTGCATGTGTTTTAAAGGTGACTTTCCAGAATATGAGAAAGTAATGAAAGGACGTAGTTGTTGTGGCATAGAAACAGATGCTCAGAATTACAAAGCTGATTGTGTTCAGTATTCAATTTTTCCGTCCGTAACCTGGTTCTATATGAGCTATAAATGTTATGCCAATAAAATGGTGGTGGTGATGACGTGAGGGAGGAGGTTGGAGATGAAAATAGCAAGGGAATGAATGCCAACTGTGATTTTATGTTTTCTCTTGAGGAATAGCACTGGTACTGGGATAAAGCCAATTATAACATTGCTATCTACTAAAAGAGTGTATTATGAAGGAAATGATGGATCATGTTGCTTGGAAAAAAATATTTTAATTCTCGATATGAAAAGTAGTAGTTGATTGGAATTAATTTGTTTCCTTAATGCATAAGTACACATTAGGAGATAAGGAGGGAGTATATTTAAGGGTATATAATATACTAATAGACCATGAAACATGTCCTTGAGTGGAGGGGGGATGAAGATAATAGCATGAATAACAGTGCATAATAATGCATGCATAGTATAAATACACTATTAAAAGAAGAAATGTTAAAAGAAAGCCAGAATAGGTTTGGTTAAATGGGAAATATAGAAATATAATTGCTATTATATTTAGCCTTTAAAATATATAATTACATAATCGTAAGCTGTATAAAATCAGAGAACAGAAGCCTGTCTTGTTTGCAGTGGTTCCAATATAGAGGAAATGAATAACATTTTAGAGGACTATCTTTCTCACAGTTTTGGCTGTTTATGTTAAAAATGTTTTCCTGTACCTTTAAATATACAAAATAATGTTGGGTTTTTAATAACACTTACTACTTACCTAGGAAAGCTAGGCCATTGTTTTATTTTGGGGTTTTAGGTAGAGTAAACAGAAGTTGAAAGGTAGTCTAAGATGAGCATAAATATGGTTGGCCTCTATATCCGCTGGTTCTTTATCAATGGAGTCAACAATCCACAGCTTAAAAAATATTTTTAAATCCAAAAAGCAAACCTTGATTCTGCCATTTTATATAATGGACCCCTTCTTATTATGCCATTGTTTATAGTGGGACTTGAGCATCTATGTAGTTCTTAACCTGGGGTCCCCAGATGTTTTTGGCCTACAACTCCCAGAAATCCCAGCCAGTTTACCAGCTCTTAGGGTTTCTGGGAGTTGAAGGCCAAAAACATCTGGGGACCCACATGTTGAGAACCACTGTATTACGGGATCTGCAGGGCTCTTAGAACCAAACCCTAGCACATACCAAGGGCTTACTCTAATGCACATTTGTCAACTAACTTGAAGGTTTGGTAATGATTGATAAAGTGCCACATATGGAAAACCTGTACATGCACAGACGTTCAGAATATTCTAGAAGGATACATAGACACATGTGCATATTTGCCAACATTATCTAGGCCAGTGGTTCTTAACCCGAGGATCCCCATGTGTTTTGGCCTACAACTTCCAGAAATCCCAGCCAGTTTACCAGCTGTTAGGATTTCTGGGAGTTGAAAGCCAAAACATATGGGTACCCACAGGTTGAGGACCACTGATCTAGGCAGTGTTTGAAACCTACAATTCATGGTGCTAATTTGTGCATCTTTTCCATGCTTTCATGAATATGGGTGGGGTTAGCAGATACTCTTCTGCTGGAATGGTACAATTCAGAGCAATTGGGAGATGGTGACTCTCTTCTCAGTTTACGCTAAACACCAACTTTGAAGGGCCATAAAACCTGGAGCTAGATTTTGGACAGCATGAAAGGCTGCAGAGCATGAGGAAGGAGAAACACCTTTTCCATGATGACTCCTAGCATAGCATTGGATTTAACTAAGTGTGTAATATTAATATTTCTTAATCACATCATTATGCATACCATGCGCAGACAGTGATGTGGCTTTCTAGAAAAGTTTCTGATATTTAAAACAATTGGGGTCTCATTGAAATGTTTATTACCTTAATACCAAAAAAGTATGCCACATTAAGTTGAAATTTGGGAATAATGTTTCTTTGAATATATAATGCATGAATTTTTTATGTGTCAGAACGTATGTGCAAGATATATATGTGTGGTTCCTATTTCTAGTCGCCAGATATATTTTGGATTTGCTTTGTCTTTTATCCATGTCTTAGGCAATTAAATAATTTCTATTTTTAAAACTGGATTTTTTTTTCTGTGGTGAAAAATATGAATGGAAAATATACGGGGGAAGAATTTCTGTCATAGAATAATCACTGTAAACTTACTCTGGTCTGAATGTAATTGCTGTACAGGCATATCCCAGCTAACAACGCCTTTGACAAAGAAGCTCCTTTATACAAAGCCTTTTAATATCTGTCCAGCCCTCTTTTTCCTTCTTGACGCATTTGGGAGGATGGTCAAGGATGGCTGGAGAAACATAGCAGCGTGTCTGAAGTAAACAACTCGATAAAATTTGACCTGGGACCTAGTCAGTCCTGTTGTGGTGAGTCTGATTTGGAGAAAAGTGAGATATACGTTGAATAAATAAATAAATCATGCTGTTCCTTGGGTTCCTGGCTACAGCTGACAGGGTAAACAGAAGCTGCCTCCATAATCCCTTCCTGTGAACAGCACAACTGGGGAAATGAGGAACGCAGCTAAGCCTTCCTCATCAGCTACCCTCAGCAAGTTAAAAAAAAATCTATAGCTTAAAATTCTGCCACCAAACTGGAAATTCTAAAAAAAGTGCAAAGCTGGTTTTAAAAAAAACATTCATGCATACATTGGGGAAGAAGCTTTCAAGTGCTCTCTAGACTTACTTAGGCGAACCCTTGTTGTCTGTGTAGGATTGTCTTCCAAGATCGGTGTACTGGCGGTGGGTACGTATGTGACTGTGGAGCCCTATTCTTGAGGTGCATGTTCTTCCGCAGTGAGGGCATTTGTTTCCAGGTGGAAGGTGTTTCTGGTCGGGTTTGGCTTGATGCGCCTTCCTCTTGGCATGTTTCTCTTTCTCCCTCCATTCGTGCCTCTTCAAATTCTACAGTACTGCTGGTCACAGCTGACCTCCAGCTGGAGCACTCAAGGGCCAGGGCTTCCCAGTTCTCAGTGTCCATTGCCAAAGTTTTGAAGGTTGGCTTTGAGCCCATCTTTAAATCTCTTTTCCTGCCCATCAACATTCAGTTTTCCATTCTTTAGTTTGGAGTAGAGCAACTGCTTTGGGAGACGGTGATCAGGCATCCGGACAACGTGGCCGGTCCAGCGGAGGACCATCGCTTCAATGCTGGTGGTCTTTGCTTCTTCCAGCACACTGACATTTGTCCGCTTGTCTTCCCAAGAGATTTGCAGAATTTTTCAGAGGCAACGCTGATGGAATCATTCCAGGAGCTCTCTGGTTCTCAACCTGTGGGTCCCCCGATATTTTGACCTTCAACTGCCAAAAACCCTAACAGCTAGTAAATTTGCTGGGATTTCTGGGAGTTGTAGGCCAAAACACATGGGGACCCACAGGTTGGGAACCACGGCTCTAGAAGATTCATTTTTTTGTTTATATGTTAAACTGTTCTTTTTTGTGATGTAGGAGCATATTTTTATATCTCCATGCTATTTCCGCCTTTGGCACAACATCTTCTGTCAAAGAATTAATGTTCAGGAACACATCTGCTTGTTGATGGTCGACAGAGCTGATATTAAGTCAGCTGAAGTAATACTGATTCCAAACCCAAGGGATGTTGAAAATCACTTGCCCAATGTCAGGCCTAATTTTGTGTCAC